AAAAAAAAAAACTTACTTCCTGAGCATAAGATAGGTCTATTTTCTCTTAAGAATATTAAATAGTAGAAAAGAGTTCATTAAGAGCACCCACCCTGGCCTAAAAGTGCTGATAAATGTATCTCCTTGAGCATCTTTATAAATATTACGAAAAACCTGACAGTGACCCAGCAATAAGCAATGAGACAACTACAAACCCTGTTGCAAAATAAAATAGCGTAGTGGTAACTGCTTACCCCATTTTATAGAATTGTTGGCAGTTAGACAATTTGATCACTGTTAAAGAAGCTTATACTAAGTCAATGTGACACGATTCAGTTTAACAGAATTTAATGAAAGAGCTAGCAAAATAATATTAATCTTGGGATTTTTCTTTGTTTTTTGCTTTTTTTTTAGTCACTCATTCTACATACATGTGTTAAGTCTCACTCTGTAGATAAAGATAGCTGGGACATAGCCTATGTCCTCAAGGATGTGTCAGTCTCCCCGGAAGCAGGTGAAGCTGCCCACCTCAAGGTGCCTAAGGGGTCACACAGACCAAGGCTTCACTGACAAGATTAGATTTGAACAAAATTTCCAAAGATGACTAAGAATCCACTTTCTAGAAGAAGAAAAGACATTCAGGTCATGGAGGAAAACACTGACAAACGTTGAGTAAAAAATGAACGTGGGGAAAAAATAAAACCTTTAATTTGTAAAACTGAGTATGGCCTACAGGAAGGCGGCTTTTGGAGGATAAGTCAATGAATCTGAAAACGTGGGGTGGAGACTGTGGGGCTTTTTATGATGTGCTCAATGACAGGTCTGATCACATATACATACACGTGGCCAAGACCGCCAGCTTTCCTGTAAATGTCCCCTCACTTAGCACAGTATCTGGCCTGTGTGGTTATCATCACTGTCATCATCATCATCAATAACAACAACATTATGATTCCAGCACATTGACAGATTAATCTTCACAACTGAAACAATTACAATGTTGTTAACAGTATTCCTATTTCACCAAAGGGGAAAAATATCTCATTTTATTGCCTTTATCAGTAAGAATGTTTTAACAATTTATCTTAATGCTAAGGGGCAGCACATTTTCCTATGTGCTGATATGAGATTTCCTCGAGCATTCATCTTCCGTGTGCATGCATCAAATGGAATTAGTATAGTCATCTACTATATTTGTATCCATTTTAAGTAATTTCAATACTTAAGTGTGTATGTTATTAAGGAGTGTATGTTATTTTTCCTACATTCTGTTTCTCTTTCCATTGCGATAGCTTCTGCATTTGTATACAGAGTACCGATTCTTCTGTACCTGACAAATGCTACTTTGCCCTGTCCTTGTATTACTTCTGCTCTGTCTTAGACATGATTAAAACAGCTTTTAACTTCTAAAATCTCTGTTATTCCATATCATTTGATCCTTTTCTCTTTAACAAAATACTATAGTTTTGATCATTGTCCATTTTTAGTATGTTTTCAAATCAGCTAAAATGAGTCCTCATCATTATTGTTTTATAAATTACATTTTCGGATATTATTTGTTTCTACTTCATATTAACCTACTTCTTCCAAATGATAGAGAAATTAGAAGAAGGGCCAGGATGAGTAGAAAGTTTATAATATACAGCCATATCACTTACGGTTTATTAATTATTGTAGAGTCGACTCACTGACCAGCATCACCAACACCCACTGAAATCCAAAGCCTACCTTGAGAACTGCTTTTCTTTTACAAAGAAGGAGCTACACAGTGAGGTTTAGAAATGTGTTCAATAATACAAACTCAGACTGTAGGACTACTTCAGAGATGAGCTCATGAACACACATAAGGTCGTAAGGAGTTACTTTCTCCTTCGAGATATCTGTGAAGCAGACTTAATGATTAACACTTGTTTTTACAAGGACAGTCACTGTAATAGCTGTGGAAGAATGCGGGGTTTTATAGTCAAACAGCGTCACTTCACAATAAGCACAGCCCTGGGCTCAGAATTACCACCCTGAAGGACTGAGAACAGCTGTTCCCTGAGCATTTTGATATTTTTCTTTCGACTCAGAATCTGGCACAGGGAAATAACAGGAGCTCTATAAACAAAAACAACTGAACTCAATTATATACACAAAACTCCTTCACTGAAGAACAATTTACACATATTAACAATGAGCATTTGTTGCTCTGGTTTTTTTTCCTTTGAGTAGATGGCACCTAATGGTATGTTAAATAACTTCAGAAGACTGTTAGGGTCCTCAGCTAAGGGTGGTTTTGCATCTTAGGAAGTAAATGCTTTGGTATGCAGCAATCATACGCTCAGCTTTGTGTGAGGCACATTCCATAGGCTGAAGAGACAGTTATATTTTCTTGGGACTTATATTCTACAACAGTTAACATTAATACAGACATGAAAGCAAGAAAAAAATTATGACTATCTACTTACAGAAATAAAAAGCAGGCATTTCCAAGGTATATATGTTTTCATACAAAAAATGTTTCACACATAATGAGTGTTCAATCAGTATTCTTTGCTACTTGGCAAGGATTTGTGAGTTCTACAGAGCGTGTACATAACTGGAACTGAATATGGGAAATGGAAGGCTTATCCTTTCCTAGAATTCAGAAAATACTACAAGACTGTATTTCATAATTCAGTAGAAAGGGAGCAACTTGAATTGAGGTATCTACTCTATCAATCACAATATCCTCTGAGCACGTATTCTAGTTTAGTATGCTCTATAATGCACATGGCTTGGGAAACAAGAAAATTTGGAAGAGTCCTTGCTCTTAAGACATATCCCATTTATTTAGGGAGACACTGATTTAAGTTACAAAGAAAACATATCCAGAGTGGCGTATCAATAAGATAAAAAAAGTGCTTTCAAATGGAGGCAGAAGCCCTGGAGGCTAT